CACCGAAACCCAAACCGTATGGAGTGGTAGTACGCACTTATAACCAATCAGTCAGAGCGACCTACTGTTATGACAGATAGTCTTCTGAAGTATATAGTCCTGCCCGTTAAGTGATAAAAGATAGCCTCAGGGTTCTTTGTGACACCATGTGTTGCCTACAAGTATTCTACCTCCCTCGCCTTGAAACCACTTGGAGCCCTATAAAATTTAAGGAAAACTCTTATACTTAGCTACTGATTTGGGTCATGTAATTCGTTAAAGAATTAAGAATACGACTTCGGCTCCGCTTTTGGCTAAGGCCGTGCAGTAAGAAAGAATGTGCTTGATGGTCTCCGACTCATCATCATCTTGTTCAGTAGTCGTTCGACAGAGCATCGAGTCAAGCTGCATTTAATGGTTATGCGGATGTTCAGCGAATTGACCAAACTGTTCAGGAAATTTCACAAGTGAGCCGTGATTTTAGTGAATTTTTCATCCAATTGAAATTACATGTTTGCTAAGGTATGCCATCAACCTTACAGTTTCCATGTCGAAGTGGTGAAGAACCCAGAAAGTATATCTGTAAAATATTTCAGCTATCTTGTTTGAGAGTACGGCATTCAGCAACTACCCTCTTGTACGGTCTTTCAATGGTTGATTTCACTCATGAAAGGTAGCCACTGAATAAAATGGTGATGAGCAGCATTCCTGGTAATTTGGTAAGTATGGTGAATTCACTAGTTCCTCACTGGTGTGTGGTATTGAATGTTCGTTGCGTTACCTAGGTAACAGCCGTATTACTACAACTTCTGAACGGAAGCTAATGGTAGCTGGTGAGATAGCTTGTGAATAATATTCTAGTAGGTAAGATTACCGCCAATGACATCTCCATGTTAAATTTTGTGGGTTAATTGCATTGCAAGTAATCTGGCGGGTAGCTAGTGGTGGTAACCGATAGCGAGTGAATTTACTAGTGCGCGGTATGTCTAAAGTCAGCGACATTTTTCTTAGTTAGTAGTACAAGTGAGACTGGTGTATTTTTCGTAGCAGTGGCAAAGCTAATGCTCTATGATGCGTCTTCCGCCACCTCACGGCAGTTACGAGAGTAGTCGCTCGACTGTATACCCATTCTAACTTCGTCAGTTCCTACCTGGCATTGCGCAGCCACTCCAAGTCGAGGAGAGGGTGAGATCTTAGCTTATGCAACTTGGGTCTGCTATGTATTGCTATCCGGCGCGAGTTTGCAAGAGAATAGCGGAAAGCCCGTATTGTGAGAGCTACAAGTCCAACGCAAGCCTAACCATGACTCTTGTACGGTACTAGGCAATGTAGTTTTTTATATCTACTACGACTTTGCCATCTCTTTACCGATCTTTAGATTACGCAGTAAAAAGTGATCACAAAAGCAATCGAAAAGTCTCTTTAAAGACTTATGCTGGTGCCAGCTAGCACGTCTGCCTGAAAACTGCAAAGCTTCAATTTATTCGCTGCTGAATATGTCTGTGCTGTCCAAATTGGCTGCAAGCATCTCATTCCCTACTAAAAATATATATGAGGGAAAAAACGGGTAACCAATGAACTCATACACAAAACATGTTTGACGGAAAGGCTGATAGAGGTGTCTTTTGTTGGAAAATCCAACAACCATTCAGACCACTGTAGTGCTTTCCAGGCAGTTGTATTATTTACACAGATGCCATTCAAAAATCAGCTGCTTACCTGATTAATTGTGTGATTTAGGAACGTTAAAAATCTAATAGCTAAGTCGCAATAAGGACCTTAGGCTTGCTAACGGAGAACTCATAACTGGAAAGGAAATAAATGAACTTTCTTTAGGTTAAATGCGTTTAATTTCGAATTAAGCTACAGTGCTAGTAGTTACTGGAATTTGTAAGACTGGCGAATAACACAGTTAGAGTTGTCTTGAGAGTCGGGCTTTTGATGGCTATAGCTTGTTAAATTTCTGGGAAAACTTGATCTAACATGCCCGGTGTGACTTCTATCTCATCATGGGAGTTCCCAGTTAAACTTATGTCGAGTGGCTCTGAATTAGTTCGGAAATCAATGAAGTTATCCTTAGACTTACAAGTCTACCTTCGTCTTTCTTATGACTGCAGTGCTGCTATAAACTCTTTTTGAGGTTGTAAGAGACTAGCAAAAGAAGCAGCAGCTACCTGACCTATAGGATGAGAATCAAGAATGATAGAATACAAGATTGCGCCGATCAGAGAGGATTTTTGAGAATAACTTTTGTGTGACGTCACACTGGTGCAATTGCGAGAGAGAAATGCCAAAACGTGAGCAAGAATGGAAGAAGAAGAAAAAATTTTGCAAGGAAAAACGTAAACAAGCTGCACCAGTGTGACGTCATGCAAACAACGATTCTGTCAAATTCGTTAAGAGAGGAATAGCGGTCCGAGATCGGCGCAACCTTTGTATTCTCTCAATCGTGGATGAGAATGCTTCCTCCCAGTGGGACCGCACACTATCAGATAAGTGTTAAGATCAGAAGAACGTCAGCTAAGAAGAGAACATTGAGATAATACGCGTGGAATAAGGCAGGCGAAAGCACTTCTTACAACACCAAGAGATCTAGGTCCCTTCAAAAGACAAACATTAGTTTCATAACGGTGCTGCTAACGGGTCACTGCAGGCTGCGTGCCCATATGAGCACACTGGGGATCTGCGTAGAAGACTGCTCTCGTTATTGCGACATGAGAGCAGAAACCCCACTGCATCCCTTTTTTACTGCGATGCGGTTGCGAGAAGAAGCAAGGTTATGGCCAGAGAAACTGCTAGGTTTTACTAGGGTACTAGAGCTGGACGAGGTTATATATGAGCTCTGAGGGCACAAGAGACCCAAGATTGCCGTGTACATCCTCTATCAAATCTATATAGTCATATAACTCAAAGTTCAAGCTGGGTTCCTCGAGAAAATGTTCTCACAGAAATCTCGAAACTGTTCTTTGAGGTACAAGGTACAGGTACGAGGTACAGTTTTTGACTTTAGTACCGTTAACCTTCTCCAGTTTTTTCTATTGCTGCAACACATTTTTGAATTTCGACTAAATATTGCAACATGTATTGTAACAGCAGTATGACTAAGTACTACACACGACAGAGCAAAAGCATTTTACTGTAAAACTTTGTTGTTCTGTTAACGGCTTTTGAGAGTTTTCAAGATCTAGAGAGAAATAAGCTATGACTCACTTCATCTCTTTCCATCTTTCGGGATATTTAATTTGTCTTCCCATAAAGGCGAGAGGACGTTTATTACAAATTTTATAATAAGAATATAATTTTGTTGGAAATGATGGACAAACAGATAAGCAGCGATGATGAACTACATAAGTGCTATAAGTATTTGCCTTTATACAGACAAGTAACCTGAGCAACTTGCGGTTACAAAATCGTTGTCGTACTTTCATATGCACATCTATATGACTACGGTGAAAGAAATCGCTGCATAAGGAGAGTTGAGTTTGATGATAATGGGAAATTACCTAAAATGTCTTTTGCAAAACATTCATGAAAAATAAAGCGGATAAAATAAGATAAAGATGGACATAATTACTTATTTGCATCTTCGAAAAATTTGTTTAAATTTTTTTCAAACTAATTAGTTTAAGTTTAACGAGAGCTATTGAAAGTTCCGATTGCCGTGTTAGATTTCTTATAAAGTATATTAAATATGTTGGCGGTTTAAACCAAGCCTCTAGTCATCGTTTAAATAAACAATCGGCATTCATTCTTGTGGTGTGGTAATTTACTGATAACACTGGGCAACAGTGGTTTTGATACCAAGGGACCGAAATCCAGAAGGTATGGCGAGATGAGAGAGTAAACCTCTAGTGAACCATTTTGGGTGGATTGGCTTGTCCCCATGCCTTTTTTTCCTGATGGGATATCGGTCAGCAGGGCATGAAACGGCGGGTAAAACTTCTGAAAAGGTAACTTTTGGCAGTGAAGCTCGTTTGCTGAAATATTTAATAAGAAGTGATGTAAAAATACATCAAATTGTATTTGAATTAATAATTTCGTTCAGTCATAATTGCGATTCGAACCACTGTGCGTTGCTAGAAAAAACTTTTTCTAAATTAGATGTTGCACGGACCAGGGATCGAACCGAATTGCTTCCCACTTCGGTGGCTAAAAGATGGAAAAGGTGCCTCCGGATCAGATGCTCAAATCGTTTGTATGGAAGGAAAAGTGTTTCAAGTAGAGATATTCAGAAGTTGGTTTAATGCATAATACTACGATTCTATCAAGAAAGGTTCAAATCAAATATATTTAATTTTGAAAACTTTGGTTGGGTTAGGAGAGGTTCAGCCGAGTGAAAGCTGTGGAGCGCCTTACATCAATGTTTCGCCAAATTTGCCTGGTAGTATGGCAGGTGGTTCCCCCAGTCCACCTGGTATTTACCTCCTCGATGAGTTAAGCCTTTAGTCTGTGTTTGCAGAAGGTTAGAGGTATGCTCGCCTTCTCAGCAGAATTGACTACAGATATTTTCGTCACCCTCCTTGCCAGCTCGTCGGCTAGGCAGTTGCCAGGAATAATGTAAATGAAATACTTAAACGGCGAAATTCTTGTTCGAACAGTAAATCCACTTTTCTTCTTCTTGGTGTTTAAACTGGGCCAAAGCTCACAATTTTTATTTCTACTTTGATTTAGAGGATTTTAAAAAATTTTCAAATTTCATTCTTTTCACCCCTAAAACGGAGTTTAATAAATCTGTTAAACGCTAACCCGGCGAATTCAAGCCAACAGTAATGCACGTCTGACGAAGTTAACAGTAACTGCATACATGTATGTACAATAAAATTTTCTCTCTTCTTTTAATTATGTATGCATGTGCCTGTGTGGGTGTATTTCAGAGCGCTTTATCGGCAGGATTGCCGAGACAAAGGACACTGCATAACCATACATACTCGTATCTACATACATACCTATGTACGTACGTCGGTGGTAGTGGAGACGAAAGCACCGTTATTGTTGGCAGTACGCGCAGAGAGTGCATGCAACTTGCACGCACGCATAGAGGGGTTGAGTGGTTGAGTTGGCGCTGGCGATTGGCGACTGGCGGCTAGCGAAAATCAAAAACGGCTTGTAAGGGAAAACATTTCCAGAAAGAGGATGCGCTGCGCTATGTCGGCCAAGTTTTTGTTGTGAATGTTGGCGGTGGTGTTGGTGTTAGTGTTAGTTGCTCGTTCGTCAGTGAATATAATGAAAAGAAAGTTGACAAAATGCGTGCAAAGCAAAACGTTGAGTAGTGAAAAAGTTTAGAAAATGTGTAAAAAAGCGATGAATAAACAAAATTCTTGGATGAGATATGTGAAAAGAACTTAATGGATTGCAAAGGAGGTGCGTGCAAAATGAAGTGAAAAAAAAATTATAAAAAATACCAAACTTTGGTTTGGGGTAAAAGGTCCAGCGCAAGTGCGGGTGTGCCACAGGCAGCCTGGGTGCATGGAGGGTCACCAAAGTGGCGCTGCGATGCTTATTAAGCGTGGAAATTTAGGAATGTGCAGAAAGTGTGCGAGTTAAGGTTAGCAACGATCGCAATTGTGTGTGAAATATAAACAAATGCAGTTGGAATTAAGAAATTTTCCAAAAACTGTAATTTTTTTTCTGCAATTTTCTTACTTCACGAAACTGTCAAAACTGCAACGAGTGACATTTTGTTTTCACGCACGGCTCTAGTGCGCCCATTCTCGCCTAACGGTTTTTAGCGCGCGTATCTACAGCTGTTGTGCTCCTCTTACACGCTAAAGTAAGTGCAGTTCTGTGTATATTTTTTAAAGCTGTAAAAAGCTGTCAAAAATTGGCAACTCTGCGCGAGTACGAGCAACGAGTAATTGAAATGAAAAAATCGAATCAATAAGGAGTAAAAAAAGAAGACGTTTTTTTAGGCGAGTAGTTGAAGCAGCAAGTGCGCTCCAAATAATCAGCGCCGCCACGCGCACGCGCACGCTCTCGCTCTTACACGTTCAGTGTTTGCGCCCCTAGTGATGGCATGTACCGTTATAACTTCAATTGAGTAACGGCAGCATTGGTGACCGACGCTCTCATGCGGTGCTCTCGCACTCACTCTCGCTCAACGTTTAAGCGATGCCTAGTTAAATTTGAACGGTGTATTAACAGACTACTCGATACGGCACAGCGCGACACAGTGACTGGCATTCGTATTCGTTGCTGGGACGCTGCGGTATTCTGTACGCAACGACGGACATTAGAAAACGCTCGAGTGTCGATTTAGGTGGCGCGTATATAATTTTGAATTTATTTGTGTGGAATCTTAGTAGCATTAATGCATTCAAAAATGGCACAAAAAGTGAAGTGGAAGCAAAAAATTTGCTGAAAAATTAATTCAGTAACGAATTTGTAGAGAATTGAGTGATTTGAAGAGGTGGAAATGAATGAAATCAGTAGGCTGATAGCTCGAAGTTGCAAGTGAAGGCTTGAACTGTTATAAAATCGGAATACTACTTAATATATGATTAAAATAACGGTTAACTATAATTGTGTTTAAAAAAAGGTTTAAGCGTTGCCGAGCGTTTGTATGAACTCAAGCCGTGTGCAGTGCGTTTGGCAGTAAAAAATAAGTTTGAAGAGTAACGCTCTAGTGAAGGTGAACCAATTCGGTAATAATTAGATCCATAAAAATTATTTTGAAATTGTAAATCGTGAATAAAACTTTTGAAGTCTAGAAACGTGTAAAGAATTAAGAAATTTTTCGAAAGAAATTAAAACTACTTATCTATTAGCTCTAGAAGCTCTAGCGCCTAAAAGTCTGCTATACACAGCGCGCTAAAAGCAATCACCTTCCGCAGCAGGATACAACCAAAGGAAAAGGTATAATGTAAAGTATAATAAAAGCATTAATCAAATCCAAATTAGTTTTAGGTATGAGTGAAGGAAAATGGTTAACCGTAAACTATTGTACATACGAAGTTTTAAAATAAAAAAAAAAACACGAAACGAGAAAATGTGAACGCTTTAAAAGAATTGCTAGCAAAAGAGCAAAGCAAAGTTTCCATAAGCATTTTGCCACTTTCCAATTTTCCCTTAACGGAGGAAAAGACACAAACACGCATACACTTGCATAGAAGCTCGTAACAGCAAGCCAATATGATTACACACATGGCTACATACATACATACATAAGAAAAATTCATATGCAATTTTGTTAGTATGTTTGTAGCATACAAAAAAAGAACAAAAGACATATCCTGTCACTGAACGTGTACATGCAGCATAGAAGCATACATTTAAGGCTTACAAATGCATGCGACAACAACGACAAAGTGGCGAGGACACATAATACCTACTATACAATACTACTAAGAGCGTATATACATACACACATCTTTACATACATATGCAGCATAGCATACCTACAGGCGCCAACACCAAGTACAATTCGTCTAAGGACACCGCCGCCGCCGCTGATGAAGCAGTGTAGGGACAGCTACCCACACACATACTCTCCCACACACACAATTTCGCAGCCGCACAGAGAAAGGCGCAAAAACAAATACATATCTTAGCAAACGATGGCAACAACTACAACAATGAGAACGACAAATACGATTGCGATGACTGCAACTGCGACTACGACAAGGACAATGGAAATAAATTGTATCGCTAAATCTCATTCATCATTGCCGTGAGTAAGTTTGCAATGTGTACGCTGTTGGTCGGTTGCGGCTGTCGGCTGTCGATTGTCGAGTATAGATTGAGTGTGAGAGTAAGTAGCGAGTGGGTGAGTTTCGAGGAGTAAGCCGTAAGTGGTTATATAGACACACACTCAGTGGTTGGGGAGTTTTCGAAAGCCTTTACATTAAATGTTAACAAATGTTCCCAGCCATTGTCAAAGTGCCGACCAAGAGCGAAAGAATTTTCTCGCCCGCCACTTACTCATAGCGTATGCACGCATAGGCAGAGTTACCATTTTCGTATATGACTCGCTCAAAACGCGAGTGAGTGAAGAGAGAGAGAGAGAGAGAGAGTGAGCTCGCGACAATTAGCAGTGAAGATGGAAACCTTAGCCGTAATCAGTGTTGCCTAATCAAGCGGTCTAAAATGTGCAAATTTAGTTAAGTAATTAATTTTGGGAGTGTTTTAGGAAAGAGTTGGGATGGTATTCAATAGCTGTGATTATCAGAAACAAAGTGGTTGGTTTCGATCGCAATTGCGAAATCCATTTTCCAAAGACAGAAGAGACAGAGAACTTAAAATCGCCTTCAATGATGACGAAATTCCGACCTTCGCAGTTGGCTCCAAAATAGTTACATATTTGAACAGGCCTGCTAAGATTCGAATTCTAATCAGCATATTTTTAAGATATGCATGGGAAATTCCTCTTGTGGGCTTCTTAATGTGCCTGTGCGGCAGCCAAGTTAACTTTTTACCTGTTTAACCCGTGTTGTCAGAGAAGAAACATTCTATTCGATTCCCCACCTTTTACTTTTGCGAAAATTCCGAAGATGGTGAATTTCTAAATGAAAGAAAAATTCTATATGAAAGACTTTCCTCATGAAAATTTATTACAAAATTTTGTTCGAAAATTTTCGCTTTTAGAATTAAATCTGCTTATATGGAAACGCTGCTCTTAATTAAAGCAAATTCTGCTGTAAAGTTATTTGCTCGCACACATCCTGCGCGCCAATGCTTTAAAGAGCGTGAACCGACTGCAGCTTTTATTAAAACTGTCAAGCGCATATTAGACACAGTCGCTCTCTATCTCCCTGCCTTTACTATTGCTCGTCAAACCGCGCTAAGCCAAGTCAATATATTTTACTCCACTCGGCTTCTCTCTGTCTCTGCCTACGGGCATGGTTTATGCCTCGGCTAAACTCTTTTCCCATGAACTCTTTACACAGCCCTAACACCGCAACACCCATCTGGCCATCTCCCTTGCAGCTGTGCAATCGTGCATATTGCAGTAATACGAGTGCGCACTTGTAGCTCACGTTGTCCTTGTCATAAATTTTCAACCAACAATTTTGTAAGGTTTTTCTTAATACTTTCGGTTAGCGATTCTATTGCGTTTTTTGTTTGTTTTAATGAAGAGTTCGTGCGCAGCGAATTAGTAAATTTTTTTGCCATTAAAGGTTGTACGTGCGCCAAAAGCGTGTGCTTTCTTGTCTCTAGCGTCCTTAGCGTTGCACAAAAAGGCCTAGTAAATATGCATGGCCAATCTACGCGCAAAGACCACGCACACTCTTGCAAACTTGCTGGCGAGTCGTACTTCGCTCGCTTAACTAATTTTGAGCCAGTCAAATTATGTTGCCTTTCGTGTTCGATTGCGATTGATAGAGCGGAGAGGAGCGGGTGGTAAATAGTGCAGTTGGCGTGACGAAAATTTTGACAGTTATTGCTATACAACGCTGCCTACTACCCTACCAATATCATTTTATCACCTTCTATGCATTACCTTTACCACTTTGCTTATGACGATTGCGCTAATTTTGCTAGCTTTTCTTTTATTACTAAACATTTGTGACTACCTAAGCATATCGGCATATTTGTGCAATCAATTTAAAAACTTACTAATTTTACTCTACCAAAACCCTTTCACCACTATATTTTGTACTGTCCTAACTCCTCATTTTCTTCTTCTTCCTCCCCTCTTAGGCCTTTTTTATACGCTTGATTACTATTTGTCTATTTGTCTTCCATACGTCTGTGCCGAGCGCCTTCCTTGTCCTTTCCTCCTTATCAGTCTTTCGTTCTAATTCAATTGCTATGCTCCAGACACACTGCTGTCTGCTGCGTCATGGCGCGTGACCTCATGTCCGAGTAGCATATCTTTGACTACTGCGTCCGACTTGCTTTTCTCTTGCTGAACATTCCATGCTTTCCTTCTGCTGCGAACAGTTCTCGTCCTTGGCTGTCGCAAATTCTAACTATTGCTTCGTTTATGATTTTAATTTTGTTTGCACACATTATCGCATCGGCGAGTAAATACACCACTGGACGACGGGCTAGCCACCCTCAATGCGAATAAAAGACCTCACCGCAGTCCTCTTGTCATGCTCATCAACTAGATATGAGTATTTGCTCCGTCGCTGGCCGTCAACGTTTGCTGTACGTGCGTCTGTCAATTCCTTACATTCCTGCCCTTCCTTTTGGGCTTCATTTTTTCCCACAAATGTTTTTTTCTTTTTATTTCTTAAATTTTTTTTTCACGAAAATGAAATCATCTCATTTGGTAGTTCAAACAGAGTTTTCGTCTGTTTTCCCTTAATATTTTTCTTTGTTTAGTATCGCTGTTTTTGCCGCATCCACTGAAGTATTCGCTGTCGCATCGTCGTATCTAACTAAGCGTTCCGCTGCCGCGCCTCTGTTAGTTGGTTTTAGTTTAGTTTACTTAATCTTTTGGTTGTTTAGCAAAGTTGCTCGTGTGTCGCCTAAAAGTTGTGCCACTTACACCCACTGCCCCGACTCTGCCAACACCGCTCTGCCTTCGGCGCCAGCGCTGCTAGTTAGACATATCTTTTACTGTTCTTTTCCACTCAGCTGACCCCTACTTTTTCTCGGTCTTTTTTTCTTTTTCTGTTTTTTTATTTTTGCTTGTTCTACTCTACTCGCACGACCTTATGTTCCTCCTGCCAGCTCGACTTCTGTTCCTCTGTTCCTCTGTCTTTGCATTACTTTCGTCGGCCGTGTGTGTGCTTATATGTATATGCCGTAGTATGTCTTGGCCTGTTTTGTGTAATTTTGCTTGTCTTTCCGACTGTCGCAGCGTCTATCTGATTACTTTGCTTTGCAGTCTCTCGCCTGACATGTCTGTGCTGTGCGCCTCTGTGCCCCGGCTACGGCCGTATTATAGTTGGTGCAGCGTTGTAGAATGATTTGATAGGTTCTTAGGCTCTTAGTAGTCATTGGTGTAGAAGTCTACTCGTGCCGCATATTTAGTTAATGTTTTCTGCTGATGCTGCTTGGCTTCGGTGCTGGTGCTGGTGCTGATGCTGCATAGAACGTTGACAGCGGGCATGAAGTGGCGTCTCTATCAACGTTTCTGAAATGTAAGTTTAATTTTCTTCATGTCCACGCTACGACATTCTCGTATAGTCGGCATGTTTCTTTTTGCTTTCGTTTTTTTTTTTTTATTATTACTTTTTTCATTACAACTTGTTTACAGTTTGCTTCACATTTTTTTTTTTATTATTTATTTTTTTTGGTTACCACTTGGCTGTTAGTTTGTTTGTGCCCGTAAAACTTCAGGTCTCTTGGTCCGATGTACTCTGGCAAGTTTACTGATTGAAACGGCCCACACTTGCAGAGCAGTCTATACCCTTCGCCCCTTCCATACTTGCTGCCTCAGAAAATTAAGAAAAATTTAAGTTGAAGTGACATGCAGTGAGTGGCGGCACTTTATTGTGGGGGCGTTGAAGAATGGCAACGATAGTAAGTGACGAAGTAAGTACGCGAATTCGAATCGGAGTTTGCTTTGCGCTGAAACTTATCATTTTGAGTGGCAGACTTGAGAAGGAAGGAAAAAAAAAACAGCCAACAACAGCAGTAATTTAGTGGCATCATCCGTGGTGATGGTCCATAATAGTACTCTGATGATGGTTAGCGAAGCAATAATTAAGGTTAGAAAGATTGGGCGATGATGAATTATGCTAGTTTTAAATTTTTTTTTCCTAAAAGTTGACTGAAGAATGCTTTGTCCACGCTGGCTTTAACTTTGTCCATATGCAACGGACATTTTTATAGATTATAATCACTGACGACTAGTAAGCGCTCAGAATAACCGTGCTGTAAGCATTAGATATCCTTTCCACTACAAAATATGGGAAATAAAATGGATGAAATGATAAATTGATAAAAACGTGTTATATGTAAATCTCT